TGAAGCGATTCAGAAAATACATTAACGACAAGAGGGACCTGGTAAGTTGTGGCACATGCATAGTAAATGTAAATTGTTCACATTACTGCTACTTTGCATTGTTGATTACATGAAACACACGGTCACCAAACATTTATGGATTTATTTAATCTTTTTAACCAGGAATTGAGCTCCAGTAGCCAAGACCCCACATGGCTGGATGACTCTGCTTTTTTGGCGGTGATGGATTTGGGAGAAGGTAATTGTAGGCGGACGTGTAATGATGTCTACCTCAGATATATGTTTTTCAAAATGTGAAATTATTTGGCTAGATACACTGAAAATCTTTCTTTGTAATTTTAAGAACCAGGCAGGTCCAAGAAGCCGGAGCCTGAGGCATCCTCCACCCAGGCCTCTTCCAGTGCACAGTCCTCCTCCACCTCACAGCTGCCCGTCACCAAAGTGCGCTCTCCCACGAAAGCGTCCTCCTCCAAGGCAACCTGCTCCAGCCAGCCATTGTCCTCCGTCCAGGCCTCTTCCTCCACCCAGCAATCTTACGCCTCTCGGGCACCTACCTACACATCTTCTCCCTTCAAGGAGCCTCTGCCCGGCACCTCAGTCAAGATGAAGTCACCTTTGTCCACTGGCGGCACCTCTTCTGTGGAGTCCTCTCAAGGCAAATCCCCTGTAAGTAATAGTCATACGTATGCAAACAGATGGTGCATCACCATGTAGTAATGTGCTGTCTTGTATAACTATACATGCCAATGTGTATTTAAGTATAATATTATTTTGATATGTCCCAGGTTGAGCTGGAGGGTTGGGTGCGTCTGTGGGAAAACCCCAATGGCATCCTGTCAGCTGACATTTCCTGGCTCAAAGAGGACACCGAAAGAGGGATGTTCACACCTGTTCAAACCTACAGAGACCACACTGGACACCTGAAGAGGCGACGGGTGATGAAGTCAGACCGCATGTGGTTTTACCCACCAGAGCGTCCTGGCTACGTCGGAGGTTCCCCGCCAAACCTGGACCTCTTTTTCCGCGGCCGTGTCTTTGTGTGGCGTCCCGTTGGAGTGTGGAGATGCTCCCTGAAGTGTCCCCGAGGTGATGCGTGTGTGGGAGCAGGACAGAATGTTCACCTCTACAAGTCTGGCTACCACCACCGGGTATTAATTCACATTAATTAATGTTAGTTATTGTAATAAAGTGGAATATTTATTACTGTGTATTTAAACATACAAATAGGAGCACAGTGCATCATATGCCTCTGTTTTTTCTTGCCGTTGAATATCTACTTCAGGTACGTCACATCTGCGACGTGTCCAACTGGTACACGATGCTGACAGAGGTTCTGTGTTGAGGACCGTGCACAAAGGCAGCCAGGAGTGGAAGAGGTGGCACGATCGGTCGGTGGCTTGCATGGGATCCTGCTATTCTGTCACAACTTAGCGAGGCTCATCAAGCCATGTTTCTTGCCATTCTTACCACCAAGTGAGTATATGGCACATTGTGTGTGTGTGTGTGTGTGTTTATTTTAAATCCTTTAAAAACAGTAGCTCAAATTCAGCTCAAAATATTGACGGTGCCTCTGCTTACAGGCGCGGTGTGGACAGGAATGTCGTGCGCCTTTTGAGGGACCGGACTGAAGGAAACACTATGGTCAAGGTGTGGCGGCAGATACAGGAAAATCATGTTGAGGAGTACCTTCAATGCAAGGACCTCTACACCACACTCCTCATGACTTTAGTGGAACCCGGAGGGATCGTCTCCGCTTTAAAGCACACCTTCAAGGCACCACCTCCTCAAAGAGAGATTCCTTCTGCACGTCTCTTGCGCCACGCCTTCCTGCTGGCCGAGGCTGACAATGTGCGGGACTACCGGAGCCAGATCCTCTCCACTTTTGGCACTGTGCTGAAAATGGATTCCACCAAGAAAGTATGTAATCAAACTATATGATAAAATGAAAACATAAAAAGACCTTTGCTGTTTTTTCAAATTTTTATTCAATGATTTTCACATAAAATAATCACCTATCAAATAAAATCTAACAACAAATCAACCTGTCCCCAGGATTCTGTATGTGGACCGCGGGTGCTGCCGTGCAAAGGGCCCGACAGCGGTGGAGACCATGTTCCAGCCTTGGGTGGACAGTGGGATGGTTGTGTGTCTGGACATCTTTCACTGGATCCATCGGTTTGACGCAGCCATCCGCACAGAGTCTCACTGCAAGTACGCCACATTCAAGTCTGCGGTAGCTGGGGCAGTGCTGGCATACAACCGCACGGACTTGGAGCTGCTCATCAAGGCTGTCAGAGCCAAGGACCCGGTAGCGCTGAAGTCCACGTCAGATGAGGATGTAGCGCGCCTCTACATTTCCAGGGAGCAGCTGAAACACCACGTGCGGAGGGTCACACTCGGGGCTCAGGAATCATTCCAGCTCATCCACCTGGCTATTGAGGAGCTTAAAGGTCCCGCCGGGCTGGACGAGAATGGAGTGAGCCTCTTCAAAACACCAGGTATGAAAGGCCTGGAAAAAGAAAAGATATTACAACACGAATATCTGTAGTGTGAAAAGTATACCATGACACACAGGATGTATCTATATACATTTACAGCGGCCATTGATGAGATCTGGGCAGAGCAGCAGCGGCATCTAGAGTGCATCCAGGATCCACCAGACATGAGCATGTACAGGGTGGCACATATCACAACCATCAACCATGTGGATGTGCCGTACTACAAATGTGTGCGTGGACGCAACAGCCTGGAAGGATTCCACAAAGCATGATTCCAGGTATGAACGTGTAATCTGATCACTTCTAACAAATGAAACATGGCCCTGTTATTATTGTAACACCTTTATACAATTTATTGTGATGTCCAGGTCCT